TATTCTGTCTGCAGGACTTTTGGTATTGAAATGGGTCATGTAGGTCCACGTTTTGGTATAGCCCCCATATAACGGTACCTTCCGATATCCGGTATTTTGACGAGTTTAGCTACATTATTCACTGAAATTGCTTCAAATATGGTATTTGAAGTTTGCAATGAATACTACAGCCTGAGACAGAAAATTGTCTGCGCAGGTCCACGTCTTTGTATAGCCCCCATATAACGGTACCTCCCGATATTCGGTATTTTGGTTAATTTAGCGACATTATTCACCGAAATTGTTTCAAATTTGTTATTTGAAGTTCGTAACGAATACTGCAGTCTTAGACAGAAAATTGTCTGTGCAGCTTCACGTCTTCGTATAGCCCCCATATAAAGGTACCTACCGATATTCGGTATTTTGATGATTTTAGCGGCATTATTCACCGGAATTTTTTCAAATTTGGTATTTAAAGTTCGTAATAAATGCTACAGGCAATACAGAAGATTGTCTGTGCAGGTTCACGTCTTCGTATAGCCCCTATATAATTGTACCTGCCGATATTCTTTATATTAAATTAAATTCATAAGCCAAGCTAATTACAAGATCAAACATCGCATTATAATCCATGTATTTGTACCGGTTAATGAAAGTTTCAATATCAAATTGTTTTAATTTTTTAAAAGCGTCATGCAAAAAACAAGCTAAACACTGCAACAAGAATAGCTGATTGTCAATTTGTAGAGACTGTGAAAATAAAATTTATAAATTTATGTGAGTGTTTGTCTCCCTCACAACCGATCGTCAAATGACGAGGAAGAAGTGAACGTACAACTTAAACACAATATCACAAACATTTTTGTTTTGATAAATATGCGTTAATAGTTCATTTCGATTAACATAAAAACATACATACACATAACTAAACAATATGTCTTTAGCGGAAGGTTTGTTAAACCTAATGTGTTATTCTTATATGGGATGAACGAGAAAAATCACACGTCGTATAGCGCAGGGCAAAGAAGAGCCTATGGGGTGCAATTATGTACGGCCGTTTATGTAGGTTAAGTATGTGAAATACTCATTTGCGTATGTATGAGAATTTACTCAGGTACCGATGTTTTTGCTGACTCAATACAATCTTATCACATGTTTGCCCAAAGGGGGGCTTTCAATGTATTTTTCTTTACCCTCAAGTGAGGGAAATAATTGAAATAACAGTAGGGGAATTCAAGTTATGGATATTATCATTTTTTACCGGATTCTAATGAAAAACTACGAAAATGATAAGATAGGTAGTTTAAAGGAACATGTGATAACATTTTACAGAAGATCTCAAAAGAGATCTCCCCTTATATATAATACATACATATAGGGAAGACTCCCGAAGATAGTTTCAATTATAGGGAAAACATGCAAAACAGCTCCGAAAACGTCTCAGACAAATGTCTTTCACAAAGTAAGCACTACCAAGCATGGAGAATTAATTTGAGAAAAGAAGAAAACTTTAGAAATGGCCTTCTTATATTTAGGAGGCTTCAGAAGAAATATTCTATATATAAAATGCACCAGAAAAAACATTCTCTTATACCGAAAACTTACTAAGAGATTTTAATATATAAAAACATTCTATACTATTTATATCCAGAAGCTTCTGAAAACCTTTTCAACATCCAAAAAATCTCTCATATATAGAGGCATCGAAAGATATCTTATATAAAAAGCCTCAGAAAAGGTATGCCTTACAAGATGAGTTTAGACTTTTCCTGCCCATAAAAATTCCGAAGACTTATTCTCTCAGAACTGCTCAATTTTACTTGCTAGTGAAAGATTTACGGTTTACAGAAGTTGACTCGCGAGTACTCCTTTTAAACAACATGCTCGAAAGAGTTTAATTTGAAATTGAGCGGTTAACTATCCTATGCTTTGTTGATAGAGATTAGCGAAAATCCTATTTGATTTTGGTTCGTTTGTAGAATGGGTATGCACATGAAATTTATAAAGAAAAACTGAAACAGTAGTCGGAAAACTAGAAGTATACTCGCTCTAATTCGAGAGTCAGAGAAAAATATGATATACTCAATGTATTTTTTAACTCAACGGCGTAAGGGAGTAAATCCCGTGGGAGGATTTACTCTCGAATCGAACATGTATGAGCATATATTGGATCTGTTCATAAAATACGTCAAATGCTATAAATACAGAGTGAGATGAAAAAACTGCAACCAACTTCAGACTTCTGTCATTTCTAGGCCACTCGCCCGACAGCTTTTAAAATTATTCCAGTGACAGCTTATTATATTGTTTACAAGCCTACAAAAGCATTTTGGTGAATTCAAGCGTGATAGTGTAATTTCCTTATATTTGACTAGAAAACCACAAGTGGCTATCGTTAGAGCACACCTGCATTTAAATGTGAATAAATCTTTAGTGTCTCGACTTGACCGCGTCGCGATGGCCGAAAAATCGCTCGTGAGCTGAACATATCGCAATATTCCATTCGGCAGATATTGGAAATGAGCTCGGGGTAAAGCCATTGAAATTCCAAAAAGCGCAAGAACTTACAGCGCAACGGAAAGAAAATAGATTCAAAAGAGCTAAAGAGTTGCATTGCTTGGCCGAAAGTGGAGATCTGCCGAATTTGGTTTTCTCCGATGAGAAAACATTCGTTGTCCAGGAGTTTGTAAACAAACAAAATTATCGTGTTTACTTGCCAAAGAGGTCAGTTGAAAATTTGGTCGCGATGGTCGCTCTCCGCTCGTATTAATCGACAGTGGTATCAGAAAAAATATTCTGGAGGGTGTATTAAAGCCTTGAGCACGCAAACTTTTTGGCCGCAGACCTTGGACATTCCAACAGGACTCAGCACGCGCCACCCAAGAATGGTCACAAAATGAGGTTCCTCGGTTCATTTTCAGCGCACAATGGCCACCAAAATCTCCGGATACCAATCCGTTGGACTATAGTGTCTGGAGTATTTTGGAAAACAAGATTGACACTAAAAAATACCAAAAGGTCGATCACCTCAAGCAAGCGCTTCGCCGGGAATGGGCTAAAATACCGCAGAGCAATATTCGGGCAGCGTGTGACGGTTTGAAGTCATAAATCATGCCAAATCCTAATTTAATTTTTACGAAGTTTATATTACGCATGTGGAGGACAAATATAACAAATTGGATTATAAAAACATATGAGAGCTATAGTTATATCTGAGCCAATTTCAAATTTGACACACTTATTTCAATGATGAAACATATATATAGGAGTTATAGCTATATCTGAACCGATTTTCACCAAATTTGATGTACTTGCTTCTACACTGAATTCGTTCGGATATGCCAAAATTCAAGTCGTTTGGAATGATATTGGATATTTGGTGCACAATTAACCCGAAATCGGTTAAAGATATGTATGAGAGGTATATCTAAATCTGAACCGAACTTTACACAATTTAATACACTTATTTCGAAGCTGTAGCTGATATCTGATACCAAATATCATTGTTGTGGAATGCATATTACGCATGTAAGGGATTGTAAATCCAAAATCGGCTAAATCATATATATAGGAGCTTTAGCTATATCCTAACCGATTTACATAAAATTAGAAGTACTTGCTTCTAGACTGAATTCGGTGTAAATTCAGGTCATTAGGACTTATATTGATCATTTGGTGCACAAATAACCCGAAATCGGTTGAAGATATATGGGAGCTATATCTAAATCAATTTCAAATATCGTTTGCAAAATTTCATCTCAATCGGATAATACATGCGACCTGCATTTTTGTTCATAAGAATACATGGGCGGACGGAAGGACTAACATGCATAATTCGACTCAGAAAGTGATTCTATGAATATCTGCCACAGTAACCCTGGGTCTGTCTCGCTTCCTTCTCCCCGTTACAAATAAATGCACAAAGACATAATACCCTTACCACTATTTGGTGTAGGGTATAAAGAGCAATAAATGATAAAACCACGATTCGAAGAAGACTTGGTAAACTATCAGAAAATGACCGAGAAAGACTCTTACTCAAGAGGAACACTTATATGTGATTTTTTAGAAGAGTCGCGAGAGGTCTCGTTTTTCTCCAAACAAAAGTATTTTTTATGACCAGAAAATGCGCCCATAATCCAGCTTTTCAATCGCGCAGCAGGATTACAAATAACTGAAATGTAATTAAAAATTTCAAAAAATACTGACTGGGATAGTAATTTGACGTCTTCTGAAGATGTATTCTGATATACGAAAAATCTCACACCAGACCTTCTCCTTTATAGAATGCTTCAAAGAGAGAAGATCGCCTGAAGATCGTTGTGCGATTCTCTAACTCGTTGACGACATTTGTCGATATTTTCGGTAATTAACGAAATTTGTCGGTAAATTAGCGGCGAAATCAAATATTCACCAAGACCTAACGATAGAAACAAGATTGTTAATTAATGGTTCTCTTGTTGTATGAAAGCTATCGGTTTTTGTCACTGTCATCAGAAAACGTTAGAGAATCCCACTACAGAACAGTTCTTCCGATTTATAATGACATTTCTTTCCTTGATTCAGTGACTACCCCTAATTATTAATATGGGCGCAAATGTGGAAAATCCAAACACAAGTAAATACGATACAGACGGTACGCTGCGGTGCGGTCGGTAATGACGATGCGATAAAAAATTATGGGAAACGATGGCGGGTGCTGCCACCGTAGAACATGAAATACTCATTGCCCGCTTTCTTTTGTGGCAGAAAAGAAACGAAGGCAAGTAAAAGAGACCAAAGCAACAGAAGAAGAAGAAAACAAAAACAATAGCATGTGTTATAATTAAATATTGAGGTTAGGAAATGCAAAAATGTAACAAAATAAAAACTGGCAATGCAACGGAGAAGAAGAAGAGACACATCTAAAATACAATGTACATCAAAACATAATCACGGCTAAATGACCTGAGGAAAGCAGAGACGACGGGTTGGGTTTTTTTTCTGTGCTGTAAAAATGAAATCGAAAAATGTTTACTAACCTTAGAACCAATTTGGTTACCGCATTGGCCAGCTTGCAAATGAACGATTTCCCTCATGTTGTACTAAAGATTTTTTCTTCAAATTTATTTGGAAAATAAAAATTAATATTTTTGGATTTTCTTCTTTCACAGCTAGGTACCTAGGTATGAAAGTGAATATTTGTACACTGTTGGGCACTTTTTACGACAAGAACAACAACAACGACGGCGACACTGTGAGCAACTCGACGGACGTTAACGACAACGTGTTAAATCGCACAATTTTCAGAATAGAACAGACCGATTTTTTGATTCGATAGACTTCTCCTATCCAGCTGAGGTATACGCACGAACGCACTTTCAGATACTGCTGGTCGCGTTTGACGACAACGAACACCGCACCACCGTTTTGTAACAACAATAACAATTAACAAATATAACTGAATTTGTACCGCGATATGAGGAGATACTCAGATACTGGCACTACTTTGGTCTGATAATGAGAGCACACTAACAAAAAAATTAGCTACACAGCTAGCTAGCATAGCAGCGTTGTCGGAACGTAAAATGAATGAATCGGTAAAATACAGCTGAGCGACAATGTAGTTATTGTTGTTTTCTGTTTGTGTACGCATGGATGTGTTTGCTTTAGTTCTGTTGGAGACGTTTCTTGTTGATGTCGCTGGTATTGTTGTTGTCATTGTTGATAACACGATGCCAACAAGTGGTGCTGGCCGCCGTGGTGGTGGGGTTTTTTGAAAGAAGCAAGAATATTTAAAAACACACACACAAACATTGCTTACGAACCTGAATCTGTAAAATATATAAAAGAGAACTCAGAGGTAGTAAAAAATGCCAAGAGTGTGCTGAGAGAATTCTCGTTAGACCCATGCAAAGCGCAATGTGAAAAAATAGAGCGCATTGTTTTGATGTCTTGTTGAAAATCACATGTTTCCCATTCCCCATAATCTTCATGCCGGTTGTTATTGAATTTTTTAATACATTTCGTGATCTGAGCGAGTGGACTGTAGAGATTGAGATTGGGAAAAACAAGTGAGAGAGACAGAGAGGGTGAGAGAAATGTGGCATTAATTACAAAGAGCAAAGTACGATCAAAGTTTGCCACAAGGAGACTTTGAATAAGTAGAGGGTTATGGTTGTTCACATAACAAGTATTGCAGTGGAGTTTCCAATGAAAAATCCACTGTTCAAATTTGAAAACGGATGGAACTAATATATGGGAGCTATATCTTAATTTGAATTGATTTTTACTAAATTTGACGGAGGTATTCTTCCTGGTGTATGTAATCTCTCGCAATCACCGCTAAACGCTACATAATAGGTCTGTCTAGTTACTTTAACTGGATGAATTGTCCAGCAAATTCATTCTGAGACACTAGGTTGGTTATATTTTCGTTCGAAAGAAAAATAAACTAATCAATGCAAAGTCAAACCGATTTCGATAAAAGTTGGCAAAGTTATTACGAGACTATATCTGATATCTTTTTCACATTATCATTATTGTAGATTGTATTCTTAAACATAAAATTGGATCTAAGGAGCTATACCTAAATATGGATCGATTTTAAACTTGTTTTTAGGCTGAATTCAGTCGTATTTGGCAGAATCCTTTTTGAAATTATAACGCAAATGCAATAGACAATTAAAAAACATGAAATCGGAAGAAGTATATATGGGAGCTATATCGAAATCTGAAATAATTTTGTACTAATTTGGCAAAAATATTTTAAGGGAGTATCTGATAACTTATACTGAATACTAGCTGGCCCGGTCCGCGTTGCCGGCCCGTAATTTTAGTCTTTAATGCTTATTATATCCTTCACCTTGGAAAGGAGGGTATATAAACTTTTTCATTCCATTTGTAACATCCATGCCGGCACGTAACGATACATACATAACGATACAGCCTACATTCTTTGACGTAGAGCATCAAAATTTAGCAGAACAATTTGTATTGTGTATAGGATGGTTGGATTGAAAATGATCTATCGCTTTGATAGATGACAATCCTTGAAGTATAAAATTGTCAACAGAGGTTCCCGTTTTGGTATGGCCCCATATAACGGCCTCATTCACTTTATGGTTTTTTGATAAGTTAACTTTGACTAAGTTAACCAAACCGTCTTTCTGGTATATGAAGTTTAAAGTGAAACGCTCTTGAATTCAGATACTTTTATATAAAAATGTTTCCTTTACCCTAAGGTGGATGATAGTAATAGTTCTGTTAGTTGGTTTTTACTTGTTTTTAAAGTAATAAGTAGTATTTGTCATTGAAATTGCGGGTTGCAGAACCCATAATGTCCATATCTTTTATCATAGTATAATTCAAAGAAGATTAAACAAATGTCCGGTTCCTTAAATCATATGGTTATACAAAACGTGATCATTTTTTGCAAGGATGGTTTCTTCCCAAATTACCAACATTTGCCGAAATTAGTATGAAAATAAGGTTAAAATGTATGACATATTTGAAATCGGGTTGTATCCTTATCCGGATTTAAGGTATCGTGAAAGTTTAGGAAGAATTTCTTAGAGAATAGAAATCCTTTTCCCTCTTCTTTTTTGCGCCCTTTATATTCGGTATTTCACTGATTTCAGTCCCAATGAATTTAGCATATTGAGTTCTCATTGGACGGATTATTGTCATGTGAAAGAAGTAGGTAGGTCCCCGTTTTGAAATGAGCCCCATAACGTTCGGTCGGTTTTTTTAAATGTGTTCGCATCTTCGAGCTAAAGCACGATGTAGTTGCTGGAGTTAAAAGCTAAATTTCAATTTCAGACATGAAAGATCGCAATTTAACATCGTATTGCGCACTATTTCATTTTTGATATTAATCATTCAGAATTCAAAACAATAAAAAATGTACTCTTTTATATAGTTTTTAAATTTACAAAATTTCACGCCAAAAAGAATTTTTTCTTTTATATTTTTATTGGCATATCTTACGCAATTTTTTCCCAAGATTCCATTCCGAAGTTGTATGAATTGTGAAAATCTGTCAAAAAGTTCTTGAGTTATAAGCATAGTAACTAATAAACAAATTGAAAAAAAATCTTCAACTTGTTCGCAGGTTTTTTACAGCGAATGTTTAAAAGTCCTTACGAAGTTTGGTCCTTACTATTATTTTTAAATTTGATTTAATTGAAAAAATATTCTCTATTATTTCCTGATTTTAGAGTTTTTGCAATGCAATAGGCTCTTTTTTGATTTTTTAGCAATTTTGAAAAATGTACTTATCTTTTAACTTTGGGTTGACCACGTTAAATTATTTTGACATCATCTATTTAGGTCCGCCACTCCATAATTGTCGTCGCTTTATACTACCCAAAAAGACTACACATCATATTAAAATTTAATTAAAAAAAAAAAAACACTACAAATGTACATTCCAAAATATTAAGTCAAAATGGAAAATAATCATGCAAAATAAAACATTACTATTGTACACCTCAAAAGTCAAAATGAAAATTTTCAAATTTCACATTTTTACGCGATTTTTTGGATTTTGTCTATTTCTTCCAAGAGACAATTCCGATTTTGTGTGAATCGTTAAAATCAGATCAGCGGTTCTTGAGTTATAAGCGTAGCAATTAACACACATTTATTTGATATATATGGATAGATTAGAAGTATGCATGGTCAGTTCCTCAGCCCCCAAATAAATCCCTAGGGTTGGAGGGAACGTCAACAGTATCTCGTGTAATAATTTTCAAACCGTTATCTTCATTATCTGGCAAATATAAAGATTTTAGATAAATAAAGATAGTGGGCGTAAAAGTAGGCGTGGTCAATATTTTTTTCTTTAAAAACCTAACTCGGGGTATGACGAACGTTTGTACAAAAAATTATGCAAATCGGTCCAGCCGTTTTCAACTGATTCCGTTACCAACAAACAACAATTGATTTATATATATATAGAAGAAGAAGATTATTGTTGTAGATTGCATATTATGGCTTTGTAAAACTTAAATATTGGACGGAGCATATATATGCGATCTAATATTCGGATGGGTTACCCCCCCAATTTGAATTCGGACGTGTGTGTGTCAAATTAATTCTATTTGGAATTATATAAGAAAGAAGATATACAAGGTGAGATGAAAACCCGGAACCAATTTCAGACTGCAGTCATTTCAAACGTACAAAAGCATTTTAGTGGGAAATTTCTAGAAAAAAAAGTTATTCATGATGGAGTTCAAGCGTGATAATGTGATTTCTTTATAACACTCCAGCATTTAAATGTGAATAAATCTTTCGTGTCTCGAACCATCGCTCGTCACCGTGATACTGATAGCTTAGCCCGACGTCAAAGAAGTGGACGGAAAAAATGGCAACATCAGGAGAAATGGTTTGAAAAGTAAAGAAGCGACTTGATCGAAACCTTGATCGAAATGGCTCGTGAGCTGAACATATCGCAATATTCCATTCGCAAATATTGAGAAATGAGCTCGGGGTAAAGCCATTGAAATTCCAAAAAGTGCAAGAACTTACACCGCAACAGAAAGAAAATAGACTAAAAAGAGCTAAAGAGTTGGTTCGCTTGGCCGAAAGTGGTGAACTGCCGAAATTTGATTTTCTCCGATGAGAAAACATTCGTTGTCCAGCAGTTTGTAGATAAGCAAAATGATCGTGTTTACTTGCCAAAGAGGTCAGCTTAAAATGTGCACCTTCGGTTGGCCACCAGAACTAATGTGCCGGCCATGGTGATTGTGTGCGCCGCCATAACAGCCGATGATCACTCTTCGCTCGTATTAATCGACCGTGGCATCAGAATAAATGCCGAATATTATCGCGAAAATACTCTGGAGGGTTATTAGCCAGGACTCAGCACCATCGCACTCAGCAAGCGCCACTCAAGAATGGTTACGAAATAAGGTTCCACGATTTATTTCCAGCGTACAATGGCCGCCAAAATCTACGGATACCAATCCGTTGGACTATTGTGCCTGGGGTATTTTAGAAAGCAAGGTTGGCGTTAAAAAATACCAAAGTGTAGATCACCTCAAGCAAGCGCTTCCCGGGAATGGGTCAAAATACCGCAGAGCAACATTCGGACAGAGTGTGACGGTTTCATTGGCCGTTTGAAGGACATAATTCGTGCCAAAGGTGACCAATTCGAACAAATCTAAACTTATTCTAAAATGTGATGATCGAAACGAATGAAGATAAGAAGCTAACATTTTGCACAGATCAGTATTTTTTGTCCGCAGGCAGGTCAAGTTCGAAGATGGGCTACATCACGTTATCGTATAGCCCCCATATAACGGTACTCCCCGATATTCGGTATTTTGATGATGTAGCACAATTTTTCAACAAAATTTTCTTAAAATCCACAAAAAGAGTTCCTTCTGAGTACTTTACTCCCTGGAAAACAAATGTCTATATAGGTTAACGATATCGTATAGCCTACATACACACAGCCCGATATTCGATAATTTGATATATTAAGGACACTATTTGCCGGGTTTGTTTCAAATTTCGTATTTATTATTCGTAATAGGTACTACAACCTATGACAAAAATTTGTGTATGCAGGCCCGCGTCATCTTATAGCCTCCATATAACGGTACCTCCCTATATTAGGTTTTTTTTGACGATTTTAGGTGCAATATTGACGGAAATTGTTTGAAATTTTGTATTTAAA